ATATTGAAGGACACTTTTGCTAAAGTGCGGGACTACAGAACCTTTGGGGCAAAAAGCACTTGGTCCTCATGTCCTTTGAGGGACAATGTCTCTTCAGACAGCACTTGAATAATTATATTTAAGTTTTTTCCCACTATGACTGTTAGGAGGCCTCCATTTGTGTCTCTCCAGTTCACTCAACCTCCATATCAAAAGCCCTCCAACCCTGCATCCCAGGTCCCAGCTTCAAAAGTCTACCAAATCCTCAGACTGGTCTTTGCTTGCATGAAGTTGCATCTTGGGACATCTATTATCTCAGGCTGCTTTACAGTAGGTATAGGAAGCCACCACTTCAGGTCTCAACTTCCAGGCTTCCTGTGACACAACACAGACCTAAGATCTGCAATCAACGTGTTCTCTAGTATTGGCAAGCAAAAGCTTTTAACTTTTTATAGCATGCGTGTTCATCCCCTGATTTAACCACTTACTATTCTTGGGGCGGGACAGGAGCAGTGTAAGGGGCGGGTGGTTGGCAGTTTATAAATTGGCCTCCAGATCCCTGTCTTGTGCAACACTCCACTGGGATGGGAGCACTCAGTACCAGGCGATCCAAGTGCCCCTGCTGTGTACCTCCAGACACAGTGGAATGGAACAACCGATCGTTCTACGGAACCTCTGTGTGAGGTCCCAATCATGATCACTGATTGGCCAATCAGTGATCACATGAAAAGAGTAGTAAGCAAGATGTCACTTCTGACATCAATTGCTTACTACGTGTGAAATCTGTGAATGATCACAGAGGTCACATGGTACAGGGCTATTCACAACAGGGGGTAAAAGTGTCCGGACCGGGAAGGGGTGTGTAAGTGTCCGGACCGGGAAGGGGGGTGAAAGTTGTCCGGACCGGGAAGGGGGTGAAAGGTGTCCGGCACCCGGAAGGGGGTGAAAGTGTCCGGACCGGGAAGGGGTGAAAGTGTCCGGACCGGGAAGGGGGTGTGAAAGTGTCCGGACTGGAAGGGGGTGAAAGTGTCCGGTCCTGGAAGGGGGGGGGGGAAAGTGTCCGGACTGGAAGGGGGGGGGGGAAGTGTCCCGGACTGGAAGGGGGGGGAAAGAGTCCGGACTGGAAGGGGGTGAAAGTGTCCGGACTGGAAGGGGTGAAAGTGTCCGGACTGGAAGGGGGTGAAAGTGTGTCCGGACTGGAAGGGGGGGAAAGTGTCCGGACTGGAAGGGGGTTAAAGTGTCCGGACTGGAAGGGGGGGGAAAGTGTCCGGGACTGGAAGGGGGTGAAAGTGTCCGGACTGGAAGTGGTTTTAAAGATTGCGCTGGTGTACAACAAAGTATTTAGTGGCATTGAACTTGTGAACCCTCTTCTGTGATTTCAGTACCGGCCCCGGTGGGGAGTCTTGGATTTGATGACATTCTGGACACCTCCTTAAGAGTGACATGGCAAGAGCCCTTTGAGAAGAATGGTGTCCTGACAGGTAGGTCCTTGAAGACCACAGAATATCCAGTAATGAGCCACCTCATGTAAATAAACTTGTAGTAACCCTTGTCAGGATTGTTTTGCAGTCTGTCCCCCACTGGGGCGATTTACTTTCACTTCCTGTTCCAAAAACACAACAGGAAGTGAGAACAGGGCTGAGTTAATGCATGGGCACCAATGGGCACTGCCCAGGGGCTCCAGGGGCGTGGGACACCACGATAATTTTGCATGACATCATATTTGCCAACTGTCCCGGATTCCCTGGGACAGTTATGCGTTTTACAAAGCTGTCCTAGGATGGCAGTGTCCCCAGCAGATTCCTGGAATGTGAGCTGCGGGGACAGCAGCAGCCTGCCACTGGGCCAAATCTACAATCAGAACGGCAACCCCCCCCCCCCCCCGCTACTTTCCGGCAAACATGGCAGAGCATCTTACTACTCCTGCTGTTTGTATGGGCGGGATGTGTACGGCTCCAATCACATGGGATGAATAGGAGAGGACGGCTGGTGAGGATCGGGGCAGTAAATATTTTTGCCCAGGGACCCATCATGGTATTAAGACGGCCCTGAGTTCCTCTAGGATGAATGAAGTGAGCGAATACCCAACAGCAATAAAGACTTTGCACAATCGATTCAAGGCTGAAAAGGTGTCAAATGTTGGTACTCTTTAATGGAAGAGTCCAATATCTGTATAGATGGTCTACATGAAGGTTTCCTAGAAGCTTCCCAACACAACGCAGCCTGTTTTGCCTGAAGCAACCCTGTTGGTATGCAAAGCCTTTCCAGTGACGGCTTACCTTTAGAGAAGAGTGTAAATACTTACCTTTCCTTCTGCCCACGCCGCTCTAAACCATGAAAAATCAACCCCCAAACTCCATATGGAAGACGACACGTCTGGGAGTTTCATTCTCCTGGGGTTCCCTACAGCTCTCCTTGGTTCCTCCTGCTGACCTCTAGATTCCCATTGTCTCCTGCAGTGATGTGGGCGGGCACCAGGAGGAACATGTGAGGGCTTCATGGAAGCTCCTGTCCCCTTTGCACAGGGGACTCCTATCCTGACATTATGTAAGCATGAGGATTATTAAAATGGATGTCTGTAAAGGTCCTCATTTACTCAGGTGATAGTATATCTTGTAGTATGGGGGCAAATGAGGTTTAATGTTGATAAATGTAAAGTTCTGCACTTGGGGGCTAAGAATATGCATGCATCATACATACTAGGGGGGGTACAACTGGGGGGGTCAATGGTGGAGAAGGATCTTGGGGGGGGTCAATGGTGGAGAAGGATCTGGGGGGGTCAAGGGTGGAGAAGGATCTGGGGGGGGGGTCAATGGTGGAGAAGGATCTGGGGGGTCAGTGGTCGATAAGGATCTGGGAGGGTCAATAGTGGAGAAGGATCTGGGGGGGGTCAATAGTGGAGAAGGATCTGGGGGGGTCAATAGTGGAGAACGATCTGTGGGGGGGTTGGGTCAACAGTGGAGAAAGATCTGGGGGGGTCAATGGTGGAGAAGGATCTGGGGGGGGTCCATGGTGGAGAAGGATCTGGGAGGATCAATGGTGGAGAAGGATCTGGGGGGTCAATGGTGGAGAAGGATCTGGGGGGGGGGGGGTCAATGGTGGAGAAGGATCTGGGGGGGGGGGGGTGGGTCAAGTGGAGAAGGATCTGGGGGGTCAGTGGTCGATAGGGATCTGGGAGGGTCAATAGTGGAGAAGGATCTGGGGGGGTCAATAGTGGAGAAGGATCTGGGGGGGTCAATAGTGGAGAAGGATCTGGGGGGGGTCAATAGTGGAGAAGGATCTGGGGGGGGTCAATAGTGGAGAAAGATCTGGGGGGGTCAATGGTGGAGAAGGATCTGGGGGGTCAATGGTGGAAAAGGATCTGTGAGGGTCAATGGTGGAGAAGGATCTGGGGGGGGGGTCAATGGTGGAGAAGAATCTGGGAGGATCAATGGTGGAGAAGTATCTGGGGGGGTCAATGGTAGAGAAGGATCTGGGGGGGGGGGGTCAATGGTGGAGAAGAATCTAGGGGGTCAATGGTGAAGGATCTGGGGGGGTCAATGGTCGAGAAGGATCTGGGGGGGGGGTCAATGGTGGAGAAGGATCTGGGGGAGGTCAATGGCGGAAAAAGATCTGGGGGGGTCAATAGCGGAGAAGGATCTGGGGGGTCAATGGTGGATAAGGATCTGGGAGGGGTCAATGGTGGAGAAGGATCTGGGGGGGTCAGTGGTGGAGAAGGATCTGGGAGGGTCAATGGTGGAGAAGGATCTGGGGGGTCAATGGTAGAGAAGGAGCTGGGGGGTCAATGGTAGAGAAGGATCTGGGGGGGGTCAACGGTGGAGAAGGATCTGGGGGGGTCAACGGTGGAGAAGAATCTGGGGGGTCAGTGGTGGAGAAGGATCTGGGAGTTCTGGTAGATCACAAGTTTAATAATGGCAGCAATGCCAAGCTGCGAGTTCTAAAGTGAGCAAAAATCCTGATATGATCTCCATGTATAATACATAAGGGGGGATATGATCACCATGTATAATACATAAGGGGGGATATGATCTCCATGTATAATACATAAGGGGGGATATTATCTCCATGTATAATACATAAGGGGGGATATGATCTCCATGTATAATACATAAGGGGGGATATGATCTCCATGTATAATACATAAGGGGGGATATTATCTCCATGTATAATACATAAGGGGGGATATGATCTCCATGTATAATACATAAGGGGGATATGATCTCCATGTATAATACATAAGGGGGGATATGATCTCCATGTATAATACATAAGGGGGATATGATCTCCATGTATAATACATAAGGGGGGATATGATCTCCATGTATAATACATAAGGGGGGATATGATCTCCATGTATAATACATAAGGGGGGATATGATCTCCATGTATAATACATAAGGGGGGGATATGATCTCCATGTATAATACATAAGGGGGATATGATCTCCATGTATAATACATAAGGGGGGATATGATCTCCATGTATAATACATAAGGGGGGGATATGATCTCCATGTATAATACATAAGGGGGGGATATGATCTCCATGTATAATACATAAGGGGGGGATATGATCTCCATGTATAATACATCAGTGGTTCATATAGTGAACTCGGTGTAGTTATTCCCCCTGAGGTCATCACAGAGGACAAGGGGGCGCTCTTTACGTCTGGAGGAAAAGAAATGTAATCACCAAACACGGAAAGGTTTCTTCACAGTAAGAGCTGTGAGAATGTGGAATAGACTCCCTCCAGGATTGGTTGTGGCCAGCTCAGTGGATTGCTGTAGGAAAGTCTTGGATTCCTTCTTGGATATACAGAATATAACTGGATATAACATTTATAAGTTTGATCCAGGGAATATCCGATTGCCTCTTGAGGGATCAGGAAGGAATTCTTTCCCCTGCAGGAGCAAATTGTATCGTGCTTTGCTGGGGTTTTTTTTTTGCCTTCCTCTGGATCCACTGTGGGTGTAGGATCATTACATTTTTTTTTTTAATGGTTGAACTGGATGGACTTTTGTGTTTTTTCAGCCAGACTAACTATGTAACATTCAAATGGACTTTTGTTGTTTTGTAATATTGAAGATGTTTCGTAGCCTCTCCAAACCACTTGTTCAGTTACAATGAGTTCCTCAACAAACCCTAGAAATGATATCTTCATCGTTCTTCATTTGGATGTCAGTGAAGGGTCTCATGAATAGGTGTGCCGAGCTTGTAGCATCGTACTCCAAACGACTCGAGGCTGTAATTGGTGCTAAAGGGGCTTCAACAAAGGATTGATCAAAGGCTGGGAATACTTATGTACATGGGGGGGGGGGGGTTGTTTTTTTATTTTTAATAAAATGCAAAGATTTCAAAATAAACTTCTTTCACTTTGTCATTATGGGGTATTGTTTGTAGAATGCAGAGGAAAAAAATTAATTTAATCCATTTTTTGATGTTTTCAAAGTTTTCCTTTAATTCTTTTCTTGGGCAGTGTATTATGGTATGTATTTATGTCCATGTATGTGGTTGGTATGTATGCATGTCCATGTATGTGGTTGGTATGTATGCATGTCCATGTATGTGGTTGGTATGCCTGTGGCCCGGGCTGTTTTTTATTGTTTATGACAACGTAGTCATTTATTTTAGTTATGCTGGGTGAAGGGGTAATCGTCCTTTGATAGGTTTGATACTTTCGATAAAGTTTGTTATATTTATTAGCTTTATGCAGTTTTTGTCCTCTATTGGGACCTCTTTTTTTTTTTGTGTGTGTGTGAATTCTATCTCACACTGTATGTTGCAGGCGTAATGTTGAAGACTTTCCACAGCTTTTCCAAGCCTTCTGTCGAGTGTCAGGAACATACCCCAACTTTTATATATTTATATTTTTGATCTGGATGTTGTGCTATTTTTTGGGGGGCAGCACACTGGCTAAATAGATAGCAATTTCACCTGGCAGTACTCGGGTCATTGGTTCGGATCCCAGCCCCCACCACCTGCCTGGAGTTTGCATGTTCTCCCTGTGCCTGCGTGGGTTTCCTCTGCGTATTCCGGTTTCCTCTCGCCCTCCAAAGACATGCAGGTAGGTTAATTGGCTCCTGTCTAAATTGTCCCTAGTATGTGTATGTATGAATGTGAGTTAGGGACCTTAGATTGTACGCCCCTTGAGGGTTATGCCAGCCATAGATGGGTCGAAAATCCAACAATTTTTTGGGCCGAAAAAAGAATCGGACGATTTTCGCACCGTT